TACAGTGCGATGCCCTGACTGCTGCTGTGACATTAACTAATGTTAAGTCCATCCCATCACCAGTATGTGATCCCACTATTGCTCCTAAGCACCACCAGAGCATTCTGTCAAAGTCTGCAATGACTGGTGGACTGAACACAGTAAAGGCTGTAGGACTCACTGAACTGATTGAGGAACTGAGGTTGACTGGCTGACAGCGGCTGGCTTAAGTGTCTGAGTAATAACAAATATTATGTATGTCTTTTGAGACATCGTGCCACTGCCAGTTATTGCACTGTTTACATTTTCATCATTAAATCAGGATCACCAACTGTCATGCTTTTGGGCTGTGACAGCTGCCATCAGGGTCCTTGTTAGTCTTTCCTGCTCTCCAAATCAGACTGACACCAAATAAGAGGAACATCAGGCTTCTTCCACATTTCAATGCCAGTATTTTGTCCATAACCATCACAGAGAGCACAGTGGCTTCAGCTGATGGAGGCATGCACACACGTATTTCTAGGAAAAACACACAAACATGACTTTATCCTGTAATTTCACATATATAACAAATTGAAATGTCGATAAAATAAAAGCTTTTATGTAATTAAGACAGCCTGTAACAAATCAGATTGAGGCTAACAAATAATATCTCCTCATGTCATCATGCCACTGAATGTAATTAACCTTAATAGGAGCCTTTTTTGTAACAGCATTAATTGTTTCTAATTACTAATTATTCTAATGGTAAATTACATTCTGCATTTCTAGCTGTCACTCTGATTGACAGGCATGTATCTCACTAGTTCTCAAAACTGACACCTTATTGTCGCCAGTCTCGCATCTCACTGGACTTTGTCACTGGCTTGCCACCATCTGACAGGAATAAAGTCTGTTTCACTGTTATAGATCAGTTCTCCAAATTTCACTCTCTGTCATTTCCCAGACTATCCTCTGTTAAGGAGGCTGCTAAACTCCTGCTACAAGATAGTTCAGTTTCATTAACTCTAACAAACACAAATTTTTGCCTACTTCTTCTGTCTTCCTGTCTGGTTTACCTGGCTACCTGTTGCTGATCACTGCCTCATTTCTGACTTGGAATCCCATATATCTCTTCCGGCTTTTGTTTGCTGGATCTTCCAATAAAAGTGAAGTCCTAGCAGTGTCTCTGTAGTTGTGCATTTAAAGTGGAATTTGCAGATTAGCAATGGCATTGAATCAGTGTGTATGAAAATTATGTAGAAACTAGATTAAAAAAAAAAACATACTGTATTTCCTTATAGTCACTGCAGTAACACTTGGAGTGGTTTTTGTGAGGGGGTTTTATGTTATAGGAAGTGGAATGACATGTCAGACTGCCAATGACAGCTGTCAGATCATCTGAAACACACCCCCCTTTTTATATAATCAAATAAATAAAACTAACTTGCCATAAAAATGACCACTTGCAGACAGACCAGTGGGACAATATCTGCCAAAATCAACAGGATTCACCTCTGGGAAAATTAGATTTGTATTTTGAGTTTTTAATTCATATGACAAATAAACACTTTGACCATCTGCTAACATGGGGGAGGTGCAGGGTTTATGACCTATATGTCAAACAGCCACCAGGGTGCAAATGGGATTATACTTGTATAGTGCTTTTCTATGCATTGCAGCACACTCAAAGCGCTTTCATACTATTTGGCCAGTCACCCATTCACACTCCCACATTCATGCACTGGTGACATCACTGGGAGCAACTGTTCAAATGCTCAAGGACACTTCGACATGTGGATTGGACAAGCTGGGAATCAAACCACTTCTAGTTAGGAGATGACCTGCTCTACCTCCTGAGCCACAGCTGCCACAGCCGCGATCGACTTGGCAGTGGCTTCACCTCAGTGAGCTGTGAGGCTGTCCATCTTCATATACAGTACAGTGTATGGTCCCCATGAGGGAGGTGAATCACCACAAAGATAGTGCGCTCCTGGTGTTTGGTCCCCACAGCTGTAGAAAAACAAGGCCACACATAAATACGCACTCACACACACACACACACACACACACACACACAACACAGCTGTGTTGACATGTGGCTGTGCGCCAAGCAGAGGTCAGGGTTGCCACATCTGTCACTTTGCTTCACCAATGAACACCGTCAAAGAGGGGTGGATGAATGGATGGAGTGAGAGCCAGAGCTGGAGAGACAGTCAGGAGTAATGGGAGGACAGACAGAAAGGAAAGAGAAGCAGAGGGACTGTTGTTGTTCTAGGCAGCAGCCAAATCATTGTGTATAAAATGAAAACAGCTTACAACTGGTGAAAGAAACAAGAATGCAATGTTTTATAAAAAAAAATCACATCCATCAAACATGTAAACATTTTTCCTGTTTAGCTAAGTCTGCTGTTGATGTGATCATAGTCACAGCTGTGTTATACTCTCAGTTGTCATTAAGCCCATCACTGACAAGCATTATGGCAGTTTCGCTAGTGATAAACTCTGTCTGTGTGTCTCTGTGTGTCTGCGTGCATGTGTGCGTGTGGCTATGTATTTGACAGTGAAAATGTCTTTTTGTGCAGGTGTCAAAATTACAGTTACTTGACAAATGTCATCTAAAGCTCCGTGTGGACTTTTAAATACACAGTGTGAGTACTGTATGTGCGTGCATGTGATTCTGTTTGCTGCAGTTGTAAATTATGCATTGCACATCTGGCTTGGTTTAGGTCAACTATCGGCCCAACATTCTCATCCAATCTCACTCCATGTCCATTGCAAAAGGATAGAAGATCCTCGTTATCATGTTATGGCAGTGGATCAGCTGGTGGTGGAGAGCCAGCCTGCTGCGTTTGATCCTCCTAATTTCCTGTTTGTAGACTTACATATCAGGGCATCCTGATATTGTTTCTTAAAATAAGATCATAGGCTGTTTTAGTGAAGCTTACAGGTTGTAACTAGGTTAAACAGGCCTGTCAAGCTGTGTATTTCACTATATGCATAAGTAGTGTGCATGAGGCTTTAGTAGGACATGTGGCATTAAGAGTTTGAAGGGGGGTGGCCGATTTTTGTTTTTCCAGAACCAAACACACAAGAGCAAAAGTGTACTGAAAGGATTAAACAGTGTGTTTATATTTTCTAACATACAGTATGTTAAATATGTCAGAACATCTGCTTTAAAAAAATCAGTGTGCTGCTCAAAAGAGAGGTTAAGGTCAAATGTAACAACAAAGTTCTTAACTGTCAGACTATGACAAATCACAGTTATTTAGAGTTACTGCTAGCTGATCAAACCAGTCTCAACAATGCTGATGTTTAATAGAAAAGAGAACCTGAGAATTAAAAATAGAGGATGTTATCATATTGGCTGCGTTGCACCAGCCACTTTTGTGTGCTCCGCAGTACTATAAAGTGCTGCACAAAAGAGACAAGCTTTACAGACAGTTATGAGACAGGATCTGGTACGTGTCTCGAATAACTTACTGGTGGTTGGTGAAAGAACTATTGTGGCTGAATAGCACTAGCATGTATCATATTACCGGTTAACTTGTCAGGGACATTTATTAAACCTAATTTACTGCCAGGTGCGGAAAAAATTGCGTCACTCAAATTTTTCGATTTAGCGGTGTATTTAACAACGGCAGCAGCAGCAGTAGTGTTAATTTCAATGCAGTTCCACTTGTAAGAACCTGGTGCATGTATTGTGCACAAGTGGACTGAGATGTGGTGTAGAAGACCATATAGGTTTACTGCTACTGAACTTTAATATCGATTTAGAAACCAACAAACATATTTCTGAATTGTTACAGTAGTCCTCTACAAACCGAACTGTCTTTCATTTCAGTCAGTGATTGAAGAATGACATGACCTGAAAGCCTGCAAAAGTCCCTCGTGTTCTCCTCTGCCATCCTAAAAAGAGAGTTGATTTAAAAACATCCTCTCCTTCTTCAGATGTGTTGTTAATGCTGCCCACTTCTCAAATGAATAACAGCTGCCATGCTGACAGCAGGACCTCACATTTTAAACCTGCTTTCTCCTGAGGTTAAAGAGCAGCTAGCTGAAAACCAATGCATATGGGTATTTACTAGTGTTGCTGATTGACTCGGGTCCAGATCTTGACATTTTAGTGCAGAGTATTTGAGCTAGTATTTGTGTTATAAATGTGTAGAGAGACTGCTCTCACCTGAGTGAAACACAGCTATTGCAATAGAATTTTTCTGTTGGCTGATGTGGTGACAGGTTACGTGTATGCGCCAGCTTTCGTCACTGACCAAACACCTCTCACCCCCATCAGTCTCCTGCTGATGCAGACTGCACAGAGTCAGGAGTTAGAAATATGTGGATTGCAACAGAGTATTTAGTGTGTTAGCATAGATGAATGATTAATGATTACTGCTGTAGCTTAGCTTGCCCCCACCACCACCAACAACTACTAAAGACCCTTTTTACTGGATTTGTGGGCTTTTACCATGTGTCAGAGTCATATTTTTACTTTGGTCAGAAACCCCCACACCCCTTCTCAAAGTCTGGTATGGAATTTTTACCCCCACCCTGTTTTAGTACCATAGTTTGATTTATTCATGTGAAATACTAGATACTTTCACCTCCTCAGGCCTTTAAAAATCTTTCAAATGAGAAAGTCCATGCAGTAAAATTCACCATTCAAAACTAATGGCCACACTGAGGCCATAACATGTGATGAGGGTCACAAATATTGCTTCATTTAAAGGGATCATAAGACAAAAGGTTGGGAAGCCCTGCTGTATATTATAAGCAGTGAAAACTAGTGGGAGAAGTTTCAGACAGAGTCCATTTCTCTACCTTAATTATACTTGCAGATACCTGAAGATTTTAATGAAAGCTCTTTTTTAAGTCAGATTTTAATGAAGCCATATGTAAATTCATATCTCCTTAAACTCTCAGTTCCTCCTGTCCCATCGTAATGAAGCTCGACTGCTCACTTTCTCTCTGTTTTTATGGTTTGATCTTGTGGAGCACACTCACACACACAACTTACTGTTCCTCTCAATCTTTTTCCTTAGTCCCATCCTTCTGGGGTTTGGTGAACTCAGCCTGGAACCTGTGTGCCATAGGAAAGAGGCAGTCGCCAATTGACATTGAGACCAGTCACATGATCTTTGACCCCTACCTGACCCCTTTGAGGCTCAACACAGGAGGACGCAAGGTACAGTAAGGACCATCACTGTTTAGGTGACCTGACATCTGAACTCTTCCTCAGGGGATTGTTCTTTTATTGCAAGGTCAGCCTTGTTGAAGACACACTGACCAGTGAATTTCAAGTTTTCGTGATACAAGCGCAACTGTTCTTATCTGACAGCTCAGGGCTATAATTCATCACCGTGGCTGAGAACAGAACAGGAGACATTCTCTAAATCAAGATGCAGAGAAACTTGTCTGACAGAGACTATGAGCTTTTCATCCATATCCATAGGCTTTAAAATTCACAGCTGCACTAGGCTCAAGAGGCATTAGAATTTTAACCCTTTACATAGCAATCACATTTAATCATTACACAAGAAAAAAATCCTCTCTAAAGCACTCAGAATCACCATTAAAACAGAGCTTTTCATGATGCTGTATGTTGTATCCCTGATGAATTGTTGTATTTAGTAGTGTATTTAAATTACTGGCCATATTTAGAAGTGATCACATTGAGGTAGGTTCAGTAAAGAGGAAAAATGACTATAACCAAAAATGTCACCTGAACTACAAGACATGATTACTAATATAGTTATGCTGACATTGATGTGACCTTGTGATTATATGGTTCTATCTGTGATTTAAGCGGTTTTGAAATATTGAGATTCAAATGTATACATCCTACATAGCAAAACGGATCTTGAGGAAAATCAAATTACAAGTATCCCTCTTCTGCTGGGAGTTATGATGTTGAAAAAAGTAGACTGTGATACACAAAATCAAGCTATTAATTATTGAAGGAAGTTTTTATATCACACTGTACAGTACATACAGGTACAGGGCCCCAGTTGGCCACAGTCAGAAAGTTTTTGTACTTTTGTAGTTCCTCTAATGAGTTTTACATTACTTCTGATTCACAGAGGAAGGCCAAGCTTTGACAGATAATAGCTTTGTAGTTTTACATCATTACCACTGCCACCCTGAAAAACCGGCCCAATCAAAGCTGTTGCTTTGTATCAGAGGAAATGCAAAAAATTATTGCAAGATAGCACAAAAGTCATACTGAGAGAACATGAAAGTTATTGAGAGGTAAAACATACTGACAAAGAACGCAAAAAGACTCTGTAGACAACACTTAAGCTGCATATTTAAAATGTAGACATGAAAACTTTTGGTTACATCAGATTTCATTGACAGATTTGAACCAATGTTCAAACTAATAACGCAGGAAACACAAACAAGCAAACCAATGATAATTCCAGAAAATCTGTGGTTCTTCTCTTTGGTTTTTTTAGTTTGTTTTCTGCTACAAAATGTGTTTCTACTTTTTGCCAGGACAGGTTAAGGTCATCATTGTCAAAGCTGGAACTGAGTGTGATCTAGTGTGTTACACTAAAATGTTCTTCAGATAGCTACAGTAGTAATCTGAATTGTCTCTAAATGTTTTCAGCTTTCAAAACAGACTGCACAGCAGCGTGTTTCTTCAGCTTCTTAAACCTTAGTCACAGAGAAGCGAGGCGACACAGAGGCCAAACATTTTGGCTGATTCACTGATTCGTGCTTTTCAATTCAAACCTTATAGAGACAAGAATTTCTTTGGAGATAAAAACATTATTTATTTGAAATTTTAGAGCTATTAATACAAGAAAAAATCAAACCCTTACACAATGTTAACTGTGAATAACTACATTCCCTCCCCCCCAAAAAAAGGTCAGATAAAACCTTATTATTCTAAGGTAACGTGTTAAACATGACAAATAAGGATTAGGGTAGTGATCATATCTGACTGAGTGAAAGCAGGAGTAGAGACTTTCCCTCTACCTACCTGCTCCTTCTACATTATTCCAGGTTTCTCGATGCCTTTCTTGCTCAAAAATTAAAGAATCTATTTTTTTACATTTAGTTTTCACTTTTCCCTTGAAAGCAGTTGACTGTCCATTAAAATATCCATTAAAATAATACTTGTTAGTGTTATCTACAAAACTGCAGACACTGTTAACATCCATTATTTCTAAGGATCCGCCATCAGAATATGCTAGACTGCAAACTGAAGGCACGTTTGACCATATAACATCTTTTCTTTTTGCTTAAAAGAAAAGATGAGTCATAAATCATTATTTCACAGCATGCGTTTATCAAAATTTGATCGCAGTGGACACTTTGATCTTAGCAGAGAATAGCACGGTTCTGTGCTATTTCATTTTAATATTCCCTTAAGAGATTTCCAAAGCCCAGATGCACTGTTGTATCAAAATAGGCTTATGTGTGGCTTAAAATTGTGATGATAATGACTGTATGGTAGGTTTTCCGTGGTTGTTCAGAATCAGTTGCTGACTGGCTTTTTAAAACTCTCTTCATAAAATAGTACAACATGTTAAATGTTGAAATGTTACTGTTTGTTGAAAAACATCTGCTCATTTTCAATTTGATGCCAGAAACACATTTCAAAAAAGTTAGGACAGGGGCATGTTTAACACTGTGTTGCACCACCTCTTCTCTTAACAACATTCTGTAAGCATTTGGGAAATGTGGAAACCAACTGCTTTAGTTTTGAAAGCAAAATGTTTTCTGTTTTTGTTTGATATAGGATTTTAACTGCAGTCCGGGCCTTCCTTTGTTGTATTTCTTACTTCATAATGTGCCAAATATTTTCAGTGAGTGACAAATCTGGACTGCAGGTAGGCCGGTTTAGCACCCAGGCTCTTATTATGGCGCCTTGCTGTTGTAATATGTGGCATTGTCTTGCTGAAATAAACAAGGCCTTCACTGAAAAAGATGTCATCTGGATGGCGGCATATGTTGCTCCAAGCCTGCATACTATATGTTCAACACCAGTGGCACCTTCACAGCTGTGCAAGTTACTCATGCTGTGTGCACTGATGCACCCCCGTATCATCACAGATGCTGGCTTTTGAACTGTGCGCTGACAACAATCTGGCTGGTTCCTCTCCTCTTTAGCCTGAATGACTTCCAGAAAAGATTTTCACATTTTGACTCGTCAGACCATAGGACAGTTTCCACTTCACCTCAGTCCATCTTAAATAATTTTGAGCCCAGAGAAGGTGGCAGCATGTCTGGATTTTTCTTGTTTTTGCAGTGAAAACAATCGCTGCTGCTCTCGGTGGAAAGATAGTTTCATTGTTTTTGTTTGTGTCACCATTCTGAATATTTAAAAGATTATAGACAAGGGCAGACAGAGAAAGAGAAGTGATTATGCTCCCAGCAGAACAACAGTAATGGAAAGTGCCTATTTCTTCTGTTAAATGACAAAGCCAGTCCACTCATCCACTTAGCTGTTACATCTTAGTGAGCCTGTTCTCTGAGGTTTTGTGCGAAGCTCAGTTACATTTATTCCTGTAAGATCTTAAATGAAGCTCTCAAGCCCCTGTCAGATCCAAGACTAATGGCATTGTGCATCTTGTTCCTGTGCATAAAAATGTGCCAGTTTGTGTTGGTTTACTGATACGTGCATCATTTTGCTTTGCAATTTTCCATTATTTACTGAGAAATCAGGACATCATGTCAACACAAGTATAAATCTGACTCAAGCAGATGTTACATGTTAAAACCAACCTTCCATTATTTTCACTGGTAGTGACTAACACTGCCCGGCATTCCACACACCTTTATGCATTTTATTTATTCATTTATTTTTCAGGGACAACACACATTAATTAACATTAATAAAGCAACACTGCACGTGGTGGTGTGTCTATCCCCACATTGTTCACTATCTTAATATGACAGAGAATCATTGCATTCATAAATAATTGTGCAGCTTCTATATTACTTCTAGTGAATCCATTGGCCAAATTAAAGTTTTACTCTGTTTACAGTTTTCTTCACTTGTTTTTGAAAGAAAGCAATGATTCAGTGAATGTCTCCCCTGGACAATAATCTTAGAGTCATAATGCAAATGTGATCTTTTTTTCAAAGAACACACATACAGTTTGCTTGACATTACATAAAAATGATTTAACCAATTTGAAATGTGAACATTACAACTGATTGCTGCAATTCAGCCTGTTGTTTATCTTTCATATACACATGATGACTGCGTCACATACCAGGGGGACAAGGATTCGGGTAGATTCGTTGATGTGCCCGTAGCCTTGTAGCAGCTCAGCTTCATAATAAATTACCCACCTTAACACAATGTTATCTAAATAATGTTTCATCCAATTCATTGTAGCCAATGGGAAACTGAAGTGGGACAATTTAGCAAATAAGTTGCTATGAATTACTGTGTCAATCACCCCCCCACCCCCAGTCCATCAGCACTTTCACAGTCTCCAGTTCGCAATTTTGGTAGAATAAATGCAAATTGCAAAGGTTTGCAGTGTCACTAAATGGCTGGATTGTTATAAAGACAAAAATGAATATGAGGTACTTTGAAAAAAATAGGAAGAATACACGCTGGTTTATAGCTATTCATATCTGTATAATTCCCTGATTAGTAGACAGCAGTAATAATTGCCTTCTTCCACACACTGGGAAAAAAAAGTACTTGATTACGAACAGATTAATGCCCTTACTGAAAGGAGCCATGAACAAATTGTATTTTAATTTTTTTTAACTGGATCTATTCCATGAATATCTGTAACTCTGGAGGTGTTCAGTGAGTTTATTAGCTCTTCCACTTTGAAATAAACCTGTTAAAGAGAGAATATGGGAAGAGTAGTATTATTATGCTTGACTGGATTTGAATTTCAGAACTGGAAGAAAGAGTTCATATGAAATTCACAAAATTAATATTAAAAGCCACATGAAACCAGCATTTAAATTTTCTATTTTCACTTATCACTTTACTTCTAAGCACAAAAAAGTCATGCCATGTCATTAGTTAAACCTGCATAATTAAGATTTAGCAAAATTCAGAAAAATCAACTAAAAAATGGTCTAGAAGTGTTTTCTTCTTGCTGCACCATGTTGGACATAACACAGCAGCCAATGTAACATTTTAGTAAGAAGTTGTTAAAATGTACACCATCAACACAGCTAGAAAAGTGGGGAGGTTTTTTCAAC